ATATAGATATACTTGAATAACACGACAATAACTCAAATAAAAACGAAGAAAAAAAAGAAGACAAAAAGAAAAAAAAAAAAAAAAAAAAAAAAAAAAAATATATATATATATATATATATATATATATATTTATATATATATATGAATAAAATTTATCAATCGAAATGATTCGAAATGATTATTTCTTCCTTTGTAATCTTATTTAGCCATCGAACCCACTCTCCCGATATATCTTCGAGAAGAGTTTGACGCAAACGCTTCAGAAATCGGTCTCGTTTATATCACTGTTGTGCTCCCGACTTTTGCTTCTCCACTTGTTGGTTGGTTATCATATCGCATTGGACAACGAGTAATGTGTGGTATTGGTGTATTATGGATAAGTGTTGCTTTGCCGCTTATCGCCCTGCCGGATAACTTATGGTTGGAAGTTCTTCCATTGTTGTTTTTCGGCGCGACTTACGCTATTATTTCCACACCGTCTCTTCCGATGTTAGGGGAAAGAGTTAGGGAACAAGGGGGTGGTGCATATGGTCAAGTATACGGACTTTGGAATATGGCATATAGTATTGGAATGTTTATAGGGCCGGCTATTGCTGGTCTTTTAATGGAACACTTAGGATTTTTTGGTACATTATGTACCTTTTCGGCAATGACTTTGATGATCTCACCATTTGTATTTTTAGGAAATCCGTTTAGATATAATCCGCTTAAAGGCTTCAGATGCTTCAAGTGCTATGATGGATATACTAGCGTTCCACAATACGAACCTGATGATGAATAGAGGTTGTACCTGTCAAAAAAAAATTTTTATCCGGGTATTATTAAATTACCCGGTTATCCTGGTAATTTATTATGCCATTTAATAAAAATGTCTACCCGGGTACAATCTCTAATGTATAAACTTTATTGAATTTATATATTTACTGCGTTTCATGTACATATATATATGTAAATATACTTGTCGCCCAATCCCAAAAATTATTATAGTTTGGGCTTATCCCAAACTATGGTTAAGTCAATACCTTAAAAAAAAACAAAAAAAAAAAAACCTTTATTAATAATCTTTATTTGAACAAATTATATATATTCTGATATAGAATATATTCGCACATTATAAAAATTTTTTTTTATAAAGAGTTTGGGATTTGTCCGGTTTTGCCGGCAAGCATACATGTAAACTGTTTACTTTAACTATATATATTAAATTATAATTTTGAAATTTCATAAATGAATTTTTTCGTTTTTTTTTTAAGATGCTGTGAATGATTGAATTCCAGTGATAGCTCTACCCAATATTAGTGTATGGATATCATATGTGCCTAAAACGAATAAATTTTAATTAGTATTGGAATATATCTACAAAATATACACGTCTCAATAAATACCTTCATAAGTATTGGTTGTACATAAATTTTGTTCATGTCTAATTATATGATATTCATCGCTTATTCCATTACCTCCTAGAACGTCTCGCATGGAACGTGCAATTTCTAAGGCCTTTCCGCAGGAATTACGCTTTACAAGTGAAATCATTTCGGGTGCTAATTTACCCAAATCTTTTAATCTTCCTACTTGAAGGCAAGCCTGCAGACCGATAGCAATCTGAAATAAAATAATTAGGTTTAAGTATGACCAAAAAAGTATAAATTATATGTACTACTTACCTCCGTATGTGCATCGGCAAATTTCTTTTGAACCAATTGAAACCTTGCCAATGGAACACCAAATTGGTTTCGATTAAGAGCATACTCACGAGCTTTAGCTAAACAAAATTCTGAAGCTCCCAGCACACCCCATGCAATTCCAAATCGTGCATTGTTAAGACAACTAAAGGGCCCCTAGTTAATAAAAGTGAGCAAACTTTTTCGAAATAATGGTAAATAATAATAAGAGGAATTATATTACCTTTAAACCTTCTGCATGTGGAAGTAAATTTTCTTCAGGAACTTCTACATTATCCATCATGATCATTCCAGTTATGGAAGCTCGAAGTGATAATTTACCTTTAATGGTTGCTGTAGATAATCCTTCCATACCCTTGTTTTTATATTATAAAAATTATCATCAACTTAGCATTTTTTTTATTTTATACGACATCCAGTTGTTCGTGTATATGTACCTTTTCCAAAATAAATCCTCGTATTTTATGATCTTCTTTGGACTTTGCCCAAACAATTAAGATATCCGCTATTGGAGAGTTGGTAATCCAAGTTTTCGATCCATTTAATATATAGACACCATTTTTTTTTTGTGAATAAGATTGCATGCCACCAACATCAGAACCGTAATTAGGTTCTGTTAACCCAAAAGCACCAATAATTTCACCTTTCGCTATTTAAAGGTAAATAATAATGATTCTGCAATTAAAAAATTAGAATTGAAGGTTAATTGTAACTTGGACATTGTATACGCGAAAATAATACCTAATCTAGGTAAATACTTCTGCTTTTGTTCTTCACTACCAAAAGCGTATATAGGATGCATAACAAGTGATGATTGCACACTCATTGTGGATCGGTAACCGCTATCTACCCTGGAAAGGTAATAAAATAAATCTAATTAAACGTGTCATCTCTAAAATAAATAAATAAAATTGAAATCAAAAATTTAAAACCTTTCCACTTCACGGGCAATAAGTCCATATGCTACCGAAGAAACACCCGAACAACCATATCCTTGAATAGTAGGACCAAGTAAACCTAATTCGCCCATTTCTGTAACAATCTCACGATCAAACCCTAAAAATATAAAGGATGGTAAATAACCTGTTTACGATTAATTTTTCAAAAAAAAAAAAAAATAATAATAATTAACATACGTTCATGGCGATAAGCTTCCAAAATTCTTGGAAATAACTTTTCTTGACAATAATGACGAGCAGAATCCCTAATTTATTCCGATAAATTTAGTCAAAAATGCACCTGGAGAAATTTTTACAAAAGAAAAATATATATAAATATATATATGAGTGTCGCTAAAAGAAAACCCGAAAATTTAAATATAAATCATATTTAAATTTTCGGGTTTTCTTTTAGTGACACTCATATGTAAATATATATATGTATATACCTGATGGCAATTTCTTCATCAGTCAGTTGTGATTCAAGAGAGAGAGGATCCTCCCAGTCATACTTAACTAACCGAAAAAACGCGCTTTGTAAATAATTTAAGCTAGTTTTTTTTTTATTTTAAAGCAATTCAAAAAGTCTTTACCTGAAGTCTGGGCTGACATGCTCCTGAAAAGCATTGCTTTTCGCATAGGAGTTTTAAAAAATTTCAAATTGGAGTGTACAACTGAAAGTCGAAACATTGTTAAAGTCAAAATTTTAAATTAAACGTAAAATGTCCGATATTTATTTATATATGCATTAAGAGAGATCGACTTGTCATTTATATTATAATATCTATTTTTTTGTAAATTTCAAGCTCTTTTTGAATGACACATACGTACGTATAGGTGTTTGTATACGTATAAATAATCAAGACATAATATATATATATATAGTATATACTTAAAAATATCATATCGAAGTTATTTATTATTATTGTTTTTTTTTGTTTTTTTTTTTCTTTGGTACTTTCAACACGATTCATACATAAAAATTACTTATTCTCCGAACTTATATGCTCTTCCTTCAAATCTTGAGTATCTAGCTATAACATGACCACAATTAGGACACGAATGAATGCAATCTTTCAAATCATTCATCTATAAAATAGAAAATTTTAACATTATTGACCAACAACACGTACAATTATTCTATAATTCCGAGAACTATACTTACACAAAAGGGAAACAAACAACATCCCCACATTGTCACTCCAATTGCAAATAAGCCAAGGGATGATAACCAAGTGCAAGTTCCAGATCGAAAGTTCGTCTTGCTCAAAACAATTTGGTTACAATGTGGGCAACAAGTAACAGCTGGTTCGCTACGTAAATCAAAAATAGAAACTGCTGGACCTAAAATAACAGTCTCGGGTTGATAATATGCTGTAATCGAAGGTTGTTGAGGTGGGTTATAAGTTGGAGTTGGGATAGAGGAATAAGAATGTTTTGGAACATTTGGGTAAAGACGCGTAGTTTCATTGGGCTCAACTTCTCGAGATTGTGAGGGAAGAGGTGTGTAAGGTGGTGGTGAGTCAACAGGATCTGAGGAACTTGTTGCGATATTGTCTTTTTTATTTGTCATAATTTGAAACGAAGATAAGAAAAAACTTGTGCCCTAATCTACCTCTGATTAATAATACCAGTTATCATGTGATAGCCGATCAGACGTGCAGTACGTAACCAAAAATTGATAAAAAAAATTTAATTAATATCGATATAGATATTGATTTTACTTAGAATTACTCAGTTTTAGAGAAAATTTAGCCGCAGCCTTTTTTTAATACGTATATAGTTTGTTAACACTAAGTTTTCCAAATTTTATCAAAAAATTTTTAACATACGCATGATCGCGGGGTGCCCTAATTGGCGAAAATAATACGTACCCAAGAACATTATTTTAAGACAATTTAAGAGCTAAGAATTAATTTAGCCAAATATGAGTAATAATTTAAAATCGTTAACGATTGTATTCGTATACTGTACAATTTTATGCACTGTCACATTTTGGATATAACTACATACTAATAACTACAAATACCGTTGGGGATCCCCAGCATCACCGTAAAAAATTAATATATATAACATTGGACAATGTTGCTAATATGGAATTGGAGTTAAAAAGGACAAACATAAGACTTTAATATATTATCAAGAATTAGCAGATATGGGTCCTGAGAATATACAGTATAATGTTGGATATTATTATCGATATGAAATTGGTGTTGAAAGGGACAAACACAAGGCCTTCGGATATTATCAAGGATTAGCCGATATAGGTCCTGCTGGTGAATAAGCATGTGGGAATAGGGAAATTAATTACTGTATTGAAGAGTTCCAACTAAGAACTTTTGAGCATGAAAGCATAATTGAATGGGATCCATTTGACAAACTGAATAATATTAAAAAAATCTGTCAAGGAGGATTCAGTGCTATATTTTCTGCAATTTGGTTGGATGGTACGTATATGAAAGATTAAAAAATTAAAAAAAAAACATAATAAATAACGGATCATAATAATGGGTAATAAATTTTTAATAAAACAATAAAATGCTATAAAATATTGTTTATATATATAGTGATAGCGATAGCAATAGTCTATGATTGAATTAAATCTCTGTATATAATAAATTTATATATGCTTTAAATAATGCTTTTTAAAAAATTTAATATAGCATTTTTTATACTATAACAATAGCATCCGGGTGTCGGCTATATGATACGAGAATCAATTAATTTTACTTGCATTAAATAAGAACCTATCATGTGACTCAGCAAAACTGAACCCGATACCTGCTGGTACGTCAATTTCATATATCAACTAAGAGACATAACCGAAAAACTAATTATACTAACAATAAAGATCCTTCTAAATTTTATTTTTAATTGCCATTTAGACATTTCCTGTGACCGTTATGTTTTCGCATAATTCTGGACACTCTAGACTATGTGAACGTTAGCCAACCCGAAGCGGTACCAACTATAAAATTTCACTGGCCAATCAAATTTCAAAACTAGATGCAAAAAATCATGTTGCTCCTTCTGCGTTACATTAGCAAGAAAAAAAAGTTTTGGTAAGAAAGTTTTGATAGTGTTTATACATTTGTGCCTATCATACTAAAAAAGTATTACGCATTTAATCAGCCGAAATTAGTCTTTCATCATTGCCGAAATTAATTTCATAATTGCCGAAATTTTTGCTGTCAAAATACATCATATGGGGTGCCTCGTATTAAAAAGGCCCATTTTGACATATAGTTTATTTTGAGATAATTGAGTTTAAGGGTAAACAGTACTATTTTAAAATTATATATAAACTTAATGGCAAATTTTTTTTATATTTAATTTTATAAAAAATTTTATTAAGTAACCTAATTTTAACTATTATTTAAATTTTGTAGAGTATGTTTTTCTGATTTTAATAATAGTAAATTCATTAAAATTGATCAAAAACTCAGTAAGATTTGAAAAATTTAAAATTAGGTATAAAATTTTAATATTAAATTTATCTTATAGCATTACATAAATTGACTAATCAAAATTGATAATTTTGTGCAACCCAGAAAATTTTGGGTCCATCCAAAAAAATTTTGTTACATATATAAGTATATTTTTTTAATAAAATACAATAGTTCAAAATTTTACTATAAGGCCATATAAAAAAAAATTCTTGGTTTTTATAACCTGGCCGGGTCAAAATTTAAAAACTTGTAAAAAATTTTTTTTATATGTTTTAATTTTTTTTTTCTGGTGTTAAGGTGAGGTTTTGTCTTATATATACTACTATACAACCTTATTGCTCACTTATATACTTATTGACTAATCTAAGAATATTAGACTCAGACTACTTTATCTGCAACTTAAACCTACCAGAGCCTTATTGTTCAACCTGGATTTTTGTATACTACTACTACTAATTAATTTCTTAATCTGGTATCATACCACATGCCAGAGGTGCTTCTAATTCTAGTTGGACTAATCCTTTACTACAGATCATTCTTGTATTCATCATTTTTTTCAATGCTTCAGTTTTGTTATCGTTGTATCACTCTCCCAAACAAGTTCCCCAACTGCTGGAGATGTTGATGCTGCCCGGTCACCTCTAATCGAGGACTTATATGCATAATCTTCATATAACAGAACCATCTGTGAGGGACATGTATATAGGACCCCGAAGAATATATATATAACTTAGATTCAGATTTAAAATTTTAATATAATTTTATACATATAATTTTATTAAAAGTTTTATACAAAATTATCATATAAGTTCAAATTTTATTAAAATTATACAATTTTAGATTTAAGTTTATGTAAAATCAAAGGTAATTTTATTTGATTTTTTTAATATTTAATTATTATGCATATTAATTATATAAACTATTTCTTCTTTTTTAAAAAAATTATAACAAGCTTTTGCTTTTTCTAATAATTGAAGAGTATTATCAAAAATTTGTATATCTTGTGTATCTAAATGATAAAGAATATTTTTTGAACATTGATGTGTAATTAAAACATGATCTTCTTCTATTTTAGCTGAAAAAATATTATGAATAGGAGTAAAAACTTTAAGAGTTAAATATGATATATTTTCAATATCAGTAATTCAGTCAGGGATTTTGTCTAATTAGGAAATCGCATTCTAGAATAATCTCTGTGTCATTCTATGAATTTGATTGGCTGTGTAACAATTTTTTTCACCATGAGATCATTTGATATTTTATTTTTTATTTGATATTAAACAATATACAATTAGCTAATATAAGATGTCTACTTTAAATGATCCCATTTGATCCCTCGCAATAAGCTATTATAAAAAAGGCAAATGATAACTAACTTCTTTTAATTAATATGTAAATTTTGTTGTGGTTAAATTTGATTGGTCAATTACACATGATTTTTGTACAACCAAATGATCTAGAATCATGTGATCAACATTTTTTTACTATACAAGGTGTGATCTACACTGTCCATATTTGGCAAAATCCCTGACTGTAATTGGTTCCTAATTATAAGAATGATATCCATATGCTTCATAAAAACTAGAAATTATTTGTCCAATACAAAGTTGTATTTCATAATAAGCTATAACATAATCTTGTTCATTAAGAGAATTATTATGATTAATATTTACATTTTTAACTATAAAATTATTAATTTAAAAAATTAAAATTTAAGTAATTATTAATATAAAAAAATAATTTAATTTAAACTTACTTAAATTTTGATTACTAAATAACATTTTTTGTTGTTTTTTAACTGTTTCTTTTCATAAAGATTGGCAATAGATTGGCTTATAACTTTTCAATCATTTTTCCATTGTTTTTCTCGTTGTTTTATAAATTGTATTTCAGCATTTGCATTTTTAGTAAATAATAAAACAATATGTCTTGCTTTAATTAGATTAATTGAAGTTAAATTAATTATTCTTGTATTATTTGTTTTGGCTGTCCATTTAATATTATGAGAAGTATAAGCATTATACTTTTCATGTTAATAAATCATTTCTTAAAAATTGATACTATTTTTAATGAAAATATTACACCATCGAACCCTTAAATTTTTTTTAAAAAAATTTAGTAGATTTTTCTAAAAAGAAAGTTTAAATTATATTATAAATTATAGCAACCTGCACTAATTGTATTATTTGAAGTTTCTATTTCAACTATATTAATAAAAGAAAGTTGTTTCATGCATTCATCTAAATTTTCATTTTCTTTATTTATATTTATTTTATCTCTTTCATTTTCTTTCTGTTTTAAAAGATCTATTTCTTTAGCAGCACAACTAATTATTTAAGAATAATTGTAATTAGATATATTTTCATTTAGATTCTCATCATCCTATATATTTTCATTATTTGAGCCAGAAACTTCTATATTGTTAGATGTTATTAAAACATATAGCCGAAGTGAATTAATAGGTATAATATCAGGTGTTAACATCCCCAAATATTTAGCAAGATTATATGCTATTTGACGTGATTGATTAAATATATACTCAATTTGATTATTATCTGGCCAGATTTGTAATAGATTAATTTGATTATTTTCGATAAAATTTTGATTATATATATATATATATATTTTTTTTTTTGCAATATCGCAGAAAGGTGAATTTTTATTAGGTATATTAGTAGTATATTCTTGATTAACGAGAGTATATTCTAGCTATACCTGTGCCTTTTGAGCATCTAATTAAGTAGCTACCTATTACTAGAGTCTACACTAGATGTTGTATCTATAACCCACTATAACTTGAGCTATCCAATTAAACTCTCTGGTGTCCTCCATCCTGCACTACCACCTTAATTACGCTAACCCATAATCTCATGCTGCTTCATTGAAGACCACCCAGATCAACATATGCTATATTACTTGTGCCCTAATTCGATGGATAACCCAGTAGGGTTCTTATACTTACCAGGTTATCCTAGAGAAGATGTAGTATATACCTTCTTAATCTTTTTATTTCTTACACATTTTCAGACTAGGCTTTTTCAATAACTTACACTGAGTCTGAAGACAAGTACTTGCAAGCTGAAGCTACTACAGTTATCTACTACTGCCTTTGTAAAGTTCACCCAAATTCCAGTACCTACTTTATGAACTCCCTCCCATACCTCCAGAAATCTAAACTTCTAATCTGATAGCCCGGAAGAGCAGAATTCTTCCTCTGGTTATCTGACGGCCTGGTTGGTATAGTGCCTTGCAAACATCTCAGTCCCGTCCAGTTTTCCGATATCTGGTTGATCATCCTTTACATAGTAATCGTCAAAGATCTGTGCTACCTTTTCACTTGGGTCTTGCCAAGCAGGCTTCTATATTCTGTAAATTTGCTGTATTTATTTGGTAGCTTTACTTGGGTTTTGTGTAACTCATACAGTATACTACATGTTCTACTACCTCCCAGTACAAGCTGATACAACCACCATTACAGGTTCTATAATCCAATAGGATACAGTCTTCCAAATACATTTTCTATAAATTTGAATTTTTGTCACTAGTGAGATTCAAACTCTAGTCCTGCTACTTGGGGTGCAACAACTTGCCAACTTCACTAAGTCATCACACCCTTTGATTATATTTAAACTGATATTCTAAAATAAATAATTTAATATATATATGCTAGTTATATGCTAATATAAATTGCAATATATAAAAAAATTAGTTTATTTACCTTCACGTACAGATTTATCTTTATTAAAAAATATTTCTTTTGAGTTTAATGCTTTAGTATAATGATCTATTTTTGGTACTATTTCTAACAACTCCGCAAAATCAAAATCTGCATTAACTTGTCATGCAATACCAAAAAAATGTTCACATGCTTCTGAACCATGTATCCAAGAAACAAGTGGATATTGATTATAAAAATCTCTATAAGCTTTTACAAATAAATTATTGATTCAGCTAATGAAATAAATATTGCAAATGTTTGAGATGCAATAAAATTTTGATTGGAGGAAATAAATTCAGGGTATTTTTATGCTAATGTATTTATATAAAATCTCTAAATTCGTAAAAAAAATAAGATATCATCACTATTCTTATTCATTCAATAGGAGTAATATTTTGATTCAAATAACTATCAACTAATTCATCTATATTAATAAAAGATAATTAATTTCAATTTATATATTATTATAAAATTTTTAAAGACTTACTAATTATAAATAAATATATAAATGTTCCTTCATATTCAGGTTTGATTTTATTATTAGAATCAAGACAGCACATTAGATTTTTAGGACAAAAAATTCTATAAGCTGCACCATCATCTTGCCGATCAAGTTTATATATATCATATTTATATATAGGACTTTTAGGATGAGTAAGCAATTTGTAAAATGACCAAATCTTACAGTAGTATGATTAAGTATAAGAACTCGAGCTTCTGACATTGCTGCATTTTGTCATGTTTTTTTTTCATATTTAGAATCCTGAACTTGTATTACTAGTCCAATATTTAGAAAAATTGGACAACTAAAATCAATATTGTATCAATTATAACTAATTCTAAGTCTACTAGGAGTTGATATTTATTAAAATTGAGTTTGTGCATCAAATTCAACCTGTGCATCATTAAAACCAATTGAAATGATATGTAGCTTAAGTTCTTATACAAAATTTAAAAGTAATTTATATATATCTAATATTGTTTCTGTTTTATCAGATTCAAGATTAAGAAGAAGAGCAATAATAACAAGGAGAAATTTTAGTAATAGAACCTAATAATAAATTTTTTTTTTTTCTCTTTAACTAGCCTCTTTGGAACTAAGGTTTTTATTCAGGTATTTACCGAGTAAGGGGCTCATCCCAACCCCATACATTAGAGAGTACATACTAGCCATATCTGCGCCTTTTGAGCATCTAATTAAGTATCTACCTATTACTAGGTTCTACACTAGATGTCGTACCTATAACCCACTATTACTTGAGCTATCAAATTAAACCCTCTGTAATGCAACTCTCCCTGTATCACCGTTACATCTTACAAAGTTTTGGATACTCACCTATACCCTTAGGACTAATTTATCCTCGAGACATCGTCACTAGAGCTATCCGGACCACAATCCGGTTAACCTAGGCTTTCAGTAACTTACGCCGAGTCTGAGGACAAGTACTTGCGAGCCGAGGCCACTATCATTACCTATTACCGCCCTTATAGAGTTCACCCAAACCCTAGCACCCACTATACGGACTATCCCTGTTATTCCAAACTTCCAATCCAGTTAGCCCGGAAGGGCTGTGACCTGCCTTTGGTCCCCACAATTGGGTCCTTTTCCTCCAGTTACTCTTCCAGCAGCCAGGTTGGTGGAGAGTGCCTTGCCAAACACTTCAGTCCTGTCCAGTTTTCCGGTTTCCGGATAATCCTTTACGTAGTGCCGTCGAAGATCTGTGCTACTTCTCTACTCGGGTCTTGCCAAGCAGGCTTCCATACCCTGTAAATTCGCTGAATTTATCTGGTAGCTTCACTTGGGTTTCGTATAACTTGTACATCACACTACATGTTCCACTACCTCCCAGTACAAGCTGGTATGACCACCATTACAGGTTCTATAACCCAATAGGATACAGTCTTCCAAATGCATTTTCTTAAATTCGAATTTTCGTCGCCGGTGGGATTCAAACTCTAGTCCTGCTGCTTGGAGGTGCGACAACTTGCCAACTTCACTAAGTTGCCACACTCTGAACCTAATAATAATGTTAGTTATTATTCAGTATTAATACTAATATCATATATTTTAATATTTGTCTTATGATTTGAAAATGTAGAACCAATAATATATCTTATTTGTGAAGAATATCTAAGACATGGTTTCAGTTTAGTATTATCTGTTATAGCTGCAATTGGCCCATCATATCTGATAGAGTCCAAAAATCGTTTGAACTGAGCTACATTTTTAAAACAAAGAGTTGAATTTGTTAACATATCTTTGGAATTAGAGCGATAGTATCTAAAAATAAAAATTATTGTTATAATAAATTTAATATACAATAAACTAGAGATTAAACCTGTTAAAAAAATCTTTATCTAGATATTATTAAATTATCCAGGTTATTCAAGTAAATTATTATATTTTTGAGTAATCATATAGTAACAATTTCTACCCAGGTTTAATCTCTACAATAAATACATAATAAATAATTTTTATATCTAATACTTTGAATTGTTAATCCTTCTAAATTTTGCCAGAATAAGTCTAATACATGTGGATTATAGATACTAAGAATTACAAGAAAATTTTTAAACTCATCAGTATATTTCAAATTTCTTGTAGATATATTTTTTCTTTTTGAATTACAGCTTGTAATATAATATTACAAAGACCTTCAAAAACTGATTTTTTATTAAATGCCACTTGAATGCCTTTTTCTGCCAATTTTATCCAAACATTAGATGCTGTATTAGATTCATTATCTTTGATTATTAACCAAATTTCAGTAAGGTCAGAATATTTTAGATAATTTTTTAGTAAATTATTTTCGAAATAATGTTTTGGATATGTTTTAGTTTTAAAGTAGATGGTTTTACTTTAGCAATTTGATTTTGTAAAAGTTTATTGCCTTTTAAACTAAGACAGTTGTTACAGATATTTTGATTAGTAAATCTCTCACACTCTATAGAACGAACACAGTTACCTTGATTGAATTAATAAAAAAATAATTAATTAAACCTTCTTATATACAGTATATCACTATACAACTAAAAGCAATATTAACTTACAATCACAATCAATTTTCTATACTGCTTCTGCATACAATTGATAATTCAACTGACATTTCTGTAAACAATCCAACTTCTTATATGAAAATTCTTTTGAAAAAAAATCTGAAAAAATCTCTTTTGCAATAACTTTAATTCTTCTAGTTCTACCAAACTGAGCAGGAGTATGACTAATATATTCATAGATAATACTAGATCTAAGACCAGAGCAAGGCTTCTGTTTATTGTTTGATGGGATTATCATATTATCATCACTTAAAACTTCACTCTCACAATCATTTTCTACATTACTTATTTTGTCAATTTTAAACAAATCATCATTACCCATATTTTCATCATCATCACTTTTCTATTCTTTAGCACTGTTAATACAATCATCACTTTTAATTTTTTTTGATTTAGAGATCGGTTTAAAATAATTTAAAATTGATTGAACTCCTTGCTTAACTAAACATCCTTTATCATTAATATGAATATTTAAGAAAGTTTCATCATAGTAATGATCAAGTTTGATAACTTTATTACAACGACAAATAACCTTTTTCATTCGAACTATATGGGCACAATATGGATGTTTTGTAAGTCTCTCTTTACTATATTTCTAAGATAGTGGCATTTTCTAAGAGAAAAAATATCAAATATACGATTTTTTTTTTTTTTATCTTTTTTTTTCTGATCTAAATTTTTTTTTATTTACTATATACAAAAGAGAAATAAACTAAACTAAAAAAGTTATGAATCATATACTAATTATAGAATATGTATATAGGCAAGGTAACTTTTAAGTTTTTTACTAATTGCTGTATCGGTATGTATATGGTTGGCAGTAGAATTACTAAATTACAGCATTACGGCGTACCATATCTGATATAGTAGAATTAATTATGGCATAATATCTAATTGCTGTAAATATTATATGTCACAATGCTATAATATCCTAATTAAAGATTGAACTTGGTATAAATTTAATTATACTGAAATAGCAGTAATTTATATATAATAAAAATCACAAAAATTCTAATGCAAACTATTTCATTAGTAAGCAAGTTCTAATAATAATTCACAACAGACTTTAACTGCATACTGTGTGTCACTAAAATAGCAAGTTTTGTAATAGAATTTTTTACAGTAATTCCAATGCAAGCTCATAATTTAAGTAGCTTATTTTAAACGATTAAATTAAAAATTTTATTATCACTCGATTACTTAGTTTGGTAAATATATAGGAATAAACATATGGAAATATAGATTGCTTCAAATCTTCTTGGCATGATATTCACTATTCTTGTGAAGTCATTTTCTTACTGCTCTATTAAATTCTTTTTTGCTTAAATTCAAATACGATCTTGTCGCATTTATCTCCTTTGCTTGCAATTTAAATACGATTTATATTGTCACGTTCTTTATCCACTATTTTTTCACTTAGAATATTGCTTACAATAGTGGTTTGAGGAGTATCGTTAGTAACTAGAGGCTAATTAATAGAACCAAGTCTTACTGTACTTATATTTACACTGTATTTAATATTTAAAGCATCTCTAATTTCTGTTTAGCATTTACAATTACAATCACACTGCTTATACTGCGTAGAGACTTAATAACTAAATCATAAGATCTTTGTACGCTAAGCAGTTGTGGAGCCTTTCACTATCAAACAGTCCTCAAGCTGTATTACTACAGTCTTGAAGCTGCAACTTCTATAAAAAATAACTCAGAACAAAAAAGCTAGCCTAATATCATAAGATGAGCAATAGCGAAACCAAAAATTAAAAAAAACTTTATATAATCAATATATATATACCCTTTAAGCACATGATATACGTATGTTATAGTTTGATTTATAATCGATCATTGCATAATTTTGTCATAAATTTCAACTTATTTTAAATACTCAAACTAAAAATTTTCATAATATTTAACGCGAATAAAAATTAAATAGTAGATAGTTGTAAACCCAAATAGCTTATCTTAAAAACATAGATTGATTTATTTTCTTTATAGCTATACACTAAATTAAAGCAAACAAAATGAAATTAAAGTAGTAAATATTCATGAACTTGAGTAACTTATCCTAAACACTTAGATTAAAAGTTTCATCATACTCTCCTGAATTTATGTATTCAATAATAAGTCAAGAATCTAAATAACTTATCTTAAACATATAGATAGATAAATTTTCTATAACCATGTACTAAACTAAAGTGAATAATCATGAATTTGAATAGCTTGTTCTAAATATTTAGATCATACCCACCTAAATTAACATGAACAATATAAATTTATAATTATATACCAAATTAAATAGTAAATATTTATGATCTTGAGTAGCTTATTCTAAATACTTACATTAAAAAAAATAAAATTAAATAATAAATATTCATGAACTTGAGTAACTTATTTTAAATAGACTAAAAATTTTCATTATATTTATCTGAATTAACACGAACAAAACAAAATTAAATAGTAAATAGTTATGAACCTGAATAGCTTATCTTAAATATATAGATTGATATATGGGGGGAGTCAGTAGAAATGGGACAAATCATTTTTAGTGAATTTTTTTTAATTTTTAAATTACAATTTCTTGACAACTACTTAACTAATTTTGATAAATTTTTTTTTATTTTAATTCTAGAATTACCTGAAATTAAAATAAAAAAAAAAATTATTAGATTTAATAAGATAGTTGACAAAATATTTATATTTAAAGTTAAGAAAACTTTTATTTAGAAAAAATTTGTCCCATGTCTACTGACTCCCCCCATATTTTATTTATATCCATGCATTAAATTAAAGTAAACAAAATAAAGTTAAGATAGTGAATATTCATGAACTTGAGTAGTTTATTCTAAATACTTAGATTAAACCTTTCATAATACTCATCTGAATTAACACGAATAAAATAAAATTAAATAGTAAATAGTTATAAACCCAAATAGCTTATCTTGAATATATAGAATAATAAGTTTTTTTCACAACACACATACTAAATTAAAGCAAATAAAATAAAATTAAATAGTAAATGTTAAATAAACTTAAGTAACATATTAAACACTCAGATTAATAAAAATTTATTATACTTACTAGTGCAAATAAAATAAAATTTAATAGTAAATAGTCATGAATCTGAATGACTTATCTTAAATATTAGATTAATAATTTTTATTCATAATTATACATTAAATTAAAGCTAATATATTTATGAACTTGAGTAATTTTAAATGCTTAGAACAAAATAAAATTAAATAATAAATAGTCATAAACTTGAATAGTTTACGTATCTTAAATATGGATTAATAAATTTCTTAATAACCACACCAACACGAATTTTTTATATCGATATGCGTAAAGACAAAATTCCATAATCAGTATATTATCGTTATTATATGTATTACCAAACATATAGTATATATAAAAAAATGCACAAATTGAACTCTTACATTTAATATTTCGATATATATATAAATATGCAAATTAAAATCCAACCTTTTTAAAAAAATACACAAATTTAAACCTTAACTGTTACTTTATTTCATTTGTCTATTTCAGGTTCTGTAAAGACAGTGATAAGACTATTACAAGAAAAAGAAAATCACAATAAACCTTTATAAACAAATCCCCTATTAGCTATTTGCAATTTTCGATAAATTTATGAATTTAAACCTACTTACTTTTTTTTAATATAAAAATTAGGATTTCGAATCATATGTATTTATTTTATCCATTTTCAAAAAATAAAATATATATCAATATATATATATAGTATCATTATACAAAATAAAGATCTAACTTGTATAAAAATCATCTTTGTTATACAAATAAGCATCTGACTTTTAAAAAAATTATCAGTTGGTTATACAAATTTAAATATATGATACAGTATATTGAAAAATTATATAGAAAGTCTATACAAAATCAGATCTTAGTATTATATATATTCTTCAGGATCCTATGCATGTTGACACCACTCCACAATTAGACCTCCTTTCTGGAAATTTCCTTTTCCATTTCGTACTTGCACTTGGATTTAGCCACAGAGCTTTGCATCTAATAGTAAGACCTCTTTCTGGATTACAGAAGTGGAAAATCTTAAGATTCTTTGCCTTCAGCTTAACTTGAACCGTTAATCTTGTTTTTGGAGATTTGGCAGCTTAACCGCTAAGCTATAGGGCCCAAACCCTTTTATATGTTTTAATTTTTTTATTTTTTTTTTTATTAACTAGCCTCTTTGGCATAGAGATTTTTATTCAAATATAATGGGCAGAGAGCTCACATAAGCAAAACCCCAATTATATTAGAGAGTACAACTAGCTACACATGCGCCTTTTGAGCACCTATTTAAGTAGTCTGCATACGGTATTACATTGTAGATTCTACACTAGCTGCCATACCTATAATTCAACTAGGGGATTACCTATCTAAACCTTCTGTAACATATACTATTTCCTTGTGTCACTGGAACATCTCTGTTATATTCATCAGTCAAGAGTTCTGGATGTGTACCATAACCTTAGAACTAATTTATCCTTGAGGCATCGTTGTTAGAGCTTTCCATACCCACAATCCGGCTAACCTAGACTTTTGGTAACTTACGCAAGTCCAAGAACGAATACTTGCGAGCTGAAGCCACTACCGTTATTTACTTCTGCCCTTGTAAAGTTCACCCAAACCCCAGCATTCACTTTACGAACCCTCTACCGTTCCTCTGGTCTCCAAACTCCCAATCCAGATAGCCCGGAAGGGTGGACCTCTTCCCTAATACCACGGTGGCCTGGTTGATATAGTGTCTTGACAAACACCTCAGTCCTGTCTGGTTTCAGTTTTTTGGTTGATAATCCTTTACGTAGTACTGTCGAAAGTCTGTGCTACCTCTCTACTTAGGACTTGCCAAGCAGGCTCCCGTGTGCCTTTGTCCCAATATCTGGTTTTACCTGGCTGCTTCACTCGGGTTTTATATAACTTATACATCACACTAATATTCCACAGCCTCTCAGTAAACCCTGGTGCGACCAAGTTTACAAATCTCACTGATCCAATGGATTATACACAGTCTGCTGTAATACATTCTGTAAAATTTGAATTTCGTCGCCAGTGGGATTCGAACTCTTGTTCTGCCGCTTGGGAGTATGACAACTTACCAACTTCACTAAGTCGACATGCTCTTTTTATATGTTTTAATAACCAGATAGGTTTTTAAAAATAATTTATAAATTTTTATATATAAAATTTTAAAAAAAACCAGCCGGCTAGGTTAGTTTAAACAGCTCTATATTATGAAAACCAAAAAAAAATTTTTGTATAACCTAATAGATAAATAATTTTATCTATATATTATAAAAATTTGATAAAAATTAATTGTAATTTGAAAAAGTTTTATTAGT